TGAAATTTAAAACTATAAGCATTTAATTTTTTTTTATAAATTTGAAACTGCAGGTCCTGACATCTCCCGAAACTGATCAATTCTTCACATTGTCTACACAAGCAAATTGGTTTTTAAATCATTCTAATTAGATGGTCTGTTCTCTCAAAACTGTTATTTTTGCCCCGTATCTACAAAAGGGCTGATCCTGCATGAATCTGCACGACTTCCTGACAATACCATTTGAATGTTTCTTGAATCATTCTAATAGGAAAATTTAAACCAATGATGGTGATAATCATGGTCATGATCAAGGTCTTAACAAACAACATAAAAATATTATGGGTCTATAAAATGTTATTTAATAATAAAAATTCATTAAAGTTTGGAATAATGAGCCATGCTAAAAATTAAATTCTATCGTCACAATTGCTAAATCTGAATTTCGTATTGAATCAATCTGAAGTAGCAGAGTACTGAGGTTAATATTGTAATTTATTAAACATAAGTATCGTGCATGTTACAAATTAGATGTAAGTGGCATGTAGCCTTAAGGAAAGTTGCAAAAACTTTTCGTTGATGTCTAAATAATCAACCTAACTATTGATAAAACAGCTGATGTCAAAATAATCGACTCAACCCCTTAACTTACGATTTAGATTCGAAAATGTCGGCCCAAAGTTGTTCAAGCTGGCGTGGCGTTTGTGACTATTTTCCCTCGTAGTGTACGGTTTATTACAAAAATAAAAATAATTTTGTGTTTTATATATATTACAATAATATATAGATTAATATATTGCAATATTAATCTAAGTATTCTGATACTTCAGTTTTTCTATTTGAACAGCTGATACCTTACAAGCCAACTCTTTCAGGCAATTAATAGTACTAAGTCGCCAAATCTAATGCAGAAACTTTATCCGTGTCCAGATTTTTCTCCCTCGTCGACATATGAAAAAAGAGCAAAATAAGCGAACAAACAAGGCAATATTGACGAGAAGCTCATGCAGCCAGATTTAATACGCGAAATAATGTAGCAGTCGCGTCGCCCGGCTTATTTCAATAGACCACAGAACGCGTGCATTAGCTTAACGACCGCACATTATCCAGGAACGGGAACCCCGGCGATCGTTCTACGGCGTACTCGGTTACTTCCAGGGATGAAACCAGATTTAATACCAAGTTATAGTCGACGATAGATAATAATAGACACATATTCAAGAATAAGAAAGCTTTTCTAATTCAGTGCCATTTTTTGTGTTCATGTATGAAATTATATAATAGTGCTCTAAAGTTATAGTAACCGCAAAAAATCGAAAATAAATTTATTTATCTTTACGTTACGAAGCATCCGTTATTT